TCCTGGGTCTTGGACACAAGTGCTGGACCCAGCCTTCCCCCGGGACTGGGTAAATGACTCGCACGGAGGTGTCGCCCCTCCTGGTGGTGGGACACCACAGACTGGCCCTCGGCTTAGAGCCTCCACTGTGGGGAAATAATTTCACAGATCTGTGCAGCATTTTCGTCTTCAGCATTTTTTATTGCATGTCATCGCACTTGACCTCCCCACCAGCACCTGTGGGGACACCCCAGTGGGCAGAGGAAATGAAACAGGTGAGGCTCCTGGGCACTTACCAAGGACTCTTGTGTGTTGAGTGGTGCAGCACAGACCAGCACCAAGGCCCCCCAGCTCCCAGGCCTCCGAGGTGGTCCCTCCTTCTGTGTGCAGCTTAGAGTTCACGTGGCTGTACAGCCAGGCCACGTCCCCCGTTCACAGGAGCTGAGCAGCCCTGTGGACAGGGACAGCCACAGCGTGTTCTGCGTGTGGAAGATCAGAGGAGTGTTAGGCATGTAAGGGATTCTGGGGGAGAAGGGGGAGTCCACCGCACACAGGTATGGACAGAGTCCCTCACTCTTTCGTTTGTCTTCAGCAGAATCCAAGCTGTGTTACAGTTTGCATGAGCCTTGGTACGTGGGCTTATGTATTAGACAATTTTAAATAAGTTGCTTCTCATGATGATTTAAAAAAATTTCCTCAGCAAAGCCAAGGATTCGTGGTAATGCAAATAATGGGTGATTAAAATATGTTACTGATTTTGTTCGATCAAACAAGTGGGAACGTCACTGATTTAGCGCCCACGCTGTGAAATCCCACATTCCTGTCCAGCCTCGCCTTGGACTTGCTGTGTGACCTGAGCCCAGTTATTTACGTCGTCTGATTTTATTTGCGTCTGTGAAATGGAGATGATAACCACGCCCACGTCATAGAGGTTTTGTACATGCAAAAGGCAGGTAGAGCACCTACAGCCGTGCCCAGCACCCCGCAGAGCAATCACTGGCACCAGTTATGATGTGATGCTAACTCTTCTTTTGGTCAAACTGTGAAGCTTTCACTTTTGGTGTTGGTTTCCTGGACACCCCCACTAGGACAGTCCTTCCATAGGCACCCCGTGATCGTGGCCCTATGGCACGCACAGATGGAAAGAACGCATATTGTTCTCATTCTGAAGCAACATTCTGAAGGCCCCTGACTTGGAGGAAGAGAAGGGAGGAGGGGGCAAACATAGGAGACACGTGACAGGCAGATAAATGGAACCAGTAAGTTAGGGGTGGCAGGCTTCAAGGTCACAGCAAGTGACTGTAGAGAAGGGAGGGTGGTTTGAGGCCCGGTCACAGGTCACTGGGAGGAGTGTGTGGGCACAGAGCCCGGCCTCACGTCCTCTCTAGAGGCACACACGCCTCTTCCTCCCCTCTGCTGGGGCTGACGTGAGCACTTACAAGCAGCTGTAGATCCTCCTAAGTATTTTACCACTTTCCTCTTGACCTTGTAGAGAGAGTTTTGTAAATCTATGAAGTGGGTTAAGTTCCCCGAGAGACATTTCAATTCTTTGTTCTTTATTCACTCAACAGACATTTTTCAAGTGGCCACTTCAGCAGGGGCTGTGCCAGGCACTAGAGACCCCACTAACCACCTAGGACTGCGTGGTTTGGCCGGGGACACTGAGTCAGCCAGCACAGTCAGCCCAGGGGGCACGGACAGGCCCTGTTGTCAGGCTGCCCAGACCCACATCCCAGCGCTGCTCCTGGCTCTGGTCTCCTGGGGCCTTAGTGTCCTCGTCTATGAAACGGAGTAGACTTGATGAACTGGGCGGATCCAGAGCCATGGAAGCAGGGAACAGAGTGTGGGATCTCGGAGGGAAGGCGGGGAGGTGGGTGGGTGGGAGGTGATCAACCAAAGCCCCTGTATGCATCTATGCATGGCCCATGGACACAGACAATAGGGTGCTGACGGCCCGGGTGGGGTGGGGTGAGGTGGAGGGGATCATTGGGGGCAACAGCGGACATATGTAATACTTTCAACAAGAAAGATTAAACAACAACAAAACAAGACAAATAAAATGGAGGAGAATTCTTATCCCATATGGGTGTTGAGGGTTAAGTGGGGGCATGTATACAACCTATAGAGCAGGCACTGCGCCTCCTCTGAGTGTCCGTATGCGTTACTCTTTCCTCCTAGTTGTAGGACTTCCACTCAGCCACCGTTCCTGTGGTTCTGGATGATGTCCCTTCCGTCTTTTAGTTTCACTTTTGAAATGGTTGTTCGAGGCGGCAAACTCCGGCGTTAACCTATGCCGCCATCTTGGTTCTCCCCCATCTGTTACTTCTTGTCTCCAAAATAGATTTAGACGTACTCAGCATTCTAATCCCATCCTCCCTTCCCTGGGCAGTGAGATGCTCCGTGTGCTCCTCTCCCTGCCAGGGCTATGGAGATTTTAGGGTCTGAAAAAGCAAATTTGTCTTGCTGTCCCCATGCTGTGAGGTAGGGGGACACTGGCCACCCCTTCACATCAGGCCTCCCATCGTCCGCACGCACCGCTGAGGGGTCCCAGTTCCGTGACCAGAGGTGTCGCTGCTCGTGGGAGCTCACAGAGGAGCAAATAGCGGCTGTTGAGTTTGCACTTGTCTCTCTTCCGCCAGCCGCACGCTGCCTCCGGGCAGGGGCTGGAAACCCTCCTGGCAGACCTGGCTAAACCGGGGCATCTGTGCCAGGGGAGCCAGGGGCACGTTGCCTGAGGCTCTGCTGAATCAGCCATTGCCATCTGGCATCCCTGTGCTGTCGAGAGCTCAGTCCCAGCATCATGAATGTGCCCTGGATGGCTCTGCCCTTCACTTCCCAGACAGAGAACGCCGGGTACTCGCCGAGCACTTGCCAGGCCCACGGCGCGGTTATGAATGAGACAGAGAGACCAGCCCTGGCTTTGTGGGCATGTAACGTGGCAGAGACACTGAATAAACCACTGCAAGTGCATGCGTAAGGGCGAAGAGGAGGGATGTGACGGCGTGTAGGGGGCAGAGAAGAACCTACTCTTCAGGGGGTGAGGAGGTCAGGAAGGCCTCTGGGAGGGAAGCAGACTCTGGTATCTGAGAATGCTCGGGAGGAGGGCAGGGCGGACGCTGGGGAGGCCTCCCTCACCTTTCTTCCTTAAATTTCTTCCCTCCTTGCCTGACCGGTTTGGCTCAGTGGATAGAGCATCGAGGGTCGATGCTGGCTCATGTCAGCCGGGTTCGATTCTGGTCAAGGGCATGTACCTGGGTTGCGGGCACATCTCCAGGGGGGAGTGTGCAGGAGGTAGCTGATGGATGTTTCTCTCTCATCGATGTTTCTAACTCTCTATCCCTCTCCCTTCCCCTCTGTAAAAAAATCAATAAAATATATATATTTTTAAAAATTTCTTTCCTCCCACCTGAGGCCTACGTTTTCCCCTCCCCTCAGACACTCGTCCCCACTGCGGGCTTGTCTTGCTCCCCACACATAACCCTGACCTCACAGAGGATGAAGCCGGATGACAGTGTTAGTAAAGGGCCAGGCTGGGAGGAGGCCGCCCTGGCCAGGGCGCCAGCCGACATCAGCCAGTCCTCAGAGGCTTCACTCCGCAACGGTCATCGGACCTTAGACACGCAAGCGGCTGACCGCTCTGTGCGCCGGTGTCCCGTCCGAGAAAGAGGTTCCGCTAGCCGAGGCGGCCTGAGGACTGAGGCGATGCCTGTGTAGCACGTAGGGCCAGGCCTGTGTGAGGCAAGGGTGCAAAAACCCTGTCCCTGCCAGCATCTCAGAAACGGACTCTGCTCAGTTAACTGGTTTTCCCTGGCAGCCGGAGGCAGAATGTCAGGGGGTTGCCTGGCCGCAGTGCTGTGGGAACGCTGCCCACTGCGTGGTAAGTGGCATCTGGACTCCGAGTTTTCTGTACGACCTCTAAATACTGAGGAGGGAGCCAGGGCTTTGGGGTTCCCAAACGTGGAGCCTCCTTGCAGGGACCCCGGAAGCTCTGTGGGTGGGTGTTCACAGGAGATGTTGGCTCCTGGGGGTGGGGAGCCATGCACCTCTGGTGCCCACTCATTTTGCATGTGAATGGACACCTGGGTGACCTTAGCTGTCAGGCGAAAGGAATAAACTCTTCCAGCTCCAGCGTCCTGTCACGTCATACATTTAAAAACATCCATTGCGAGCCTACTATGTGGCAGGTGCTAGAAATACATTGTTGAAATAAAACAGGTCCATTCTGTGCCCTGAAGACATTTACAGTCGAATGGGGAGGTCCTGTCAATCAAAGTATCCCCCAAACACTAGTGAAAGAGCACCCTGATAATATGCACATTGGCTGTGAGGGTGGGGGGTGGAGGGGAGAGAGGGGAGACTGACCCAGCTGGAGGTGAGGGAAGGCTTCTGTGACCAAGTCATGGTGGAGCTGGGATCTGGTGAACAGGCATGTGAACCAGACACAGAAGTGGGGGAAGATTCCAGAAGGAGACCACAGCCCAGGCAAAGGCTTGGGGGGTGGGGGAGGTGCGAGGTGGAGAGAATGAGGTCGGTGGGGCTCTGCCAGGCAGCCCTTAGCGCAGGGCTGAGGTTCAGATTCCTTAATGACCCGGCGCAGCCCTGCCCGCGGGCAGTGAGAGCTGCTGCCCAACAGTCACGCTGGCGTTTATTTTTGCTTCTTCGTCTTAAGAGCAGCGAGAAGCAGGTTAATGCAGATGGGGATGCGTGTGGCTTGGCCTGCGTGGATTTGCACTTGGAAAGCGGATTCCGGCCGCAGGATGCTGAAATCAAGCAGGAGAGGCGTGAAATTAGAAGGAACTTTTAGTGAGCCGGTTTAAGTGGTGAAGGAAGCCCACCGTGCCTGCCGCCTGCCGCAGGCTCATAGAGCATCTGGGGATTAGCAGCAGGAGAGGAAGGTCTGACCTTTAATTTCAGTGTCTTATGTGCAGGTTGGCTTCCCACCCCACCCCATTTTTGGCTTCCATGACCCCAAATCACCCCTGTAGGTTGTAACGGGAGGTTCCGAAGCACATCCCAGCCAGGAGCAGACTTCAGGGCGTTCGGAAACCATAAGTCAAGCCCACGGCAGCACTTTCCGTAGCTGAGAGAACGGTTCCTGCCATTGAAGACAGACATGGCCCATCATGAATGAAAATCATATTTCTCTTTTTCTCTCTCCCCTCCAGGCTTATATTTGGCACCCTTTACCCTGCATATTATTCCTACAAGGCCGTGAAATCAAAGGACATTAAAGAATATGTGAGTAGCACTTTGGGGAGTGAACTGGGTGTGAACGGGCAGGAGGAGGTGGGTGCTCTCTGCTGTGGGCACTGGCAGCAGGCTGAGGAGTCCCTTCATCGCTCTCCTCATGAGACCTATGTGGTGTGGCCCAGGAATCCCCTCCCCGTGGACACTTCCTCTTTAGAACTAGAGTGCAGAAGAGGGGAACGCAGGGAGGTACAGCGAGAGGAACTGAAGTCCCCAGTCTACCACATGCCACTGTGTGGCCTGGAATGAGTGAGTTCACCTCGCTGAGCCTGTTTCTTTGTCTGGAAAACACTGTGTAGACCAGAAAGCACTGTTATTGGGAGACAGTCTAGCACCAGGGGCAGGAGCAGGGGTCCTGGGACCAGCAGACCCGGTTCAGCTCCTGGGTCTGCGACTGGGGCTCTATCCCACCCCAGTTCTGCGATTCAGATGCCCCAGGAGGTAAGCCCTGTTGCTTTATAAGCTTTCAGAGGGCGGGAGTTGTTCATTATTCTACAGCTATTACCCCACAGCGCCTAGCAGAGGGCAGAGCATGTGGGAAGGGGCTCCTTGGTTTGGAGGATGCATTGCTGTTGAGTGGATTTGGGAGCCATGGTCACGGCCCTCGATGTGCTGGGCACCTCTAGACAGAACCATCAGACCACCCCTGACTGACAGAGACCTGCAGGGCCGGTTGAGGGAAGGAGAGAGACCCAGGTCCAAGTACAGAGGCTGTGGATTTTGTCAGCAAGAGCCTGGAGTCAAGTGCTGGCTCTGGCATTTGCTTGATGCAATGGGTGGCGAGAAGCTGGCTTCCAACAGCCTCCTTTTCTTCAGCTGAACTGCGGGGTGAAGAGCAACAACCCTGACCCCCAGTGTCGTGAGGGACAGAGGGTCTTCGCTCTCCCCCTGTGACTCAGCGGTGTCACTTGGCAACTGTCAGGTGAAGAGGGTTGGAAACATCATCGTTTCCTTTCTCGGAAACCCCAGGACATCTTTATGATGAAACCAGCCACCTCCCCGTCAACTGCAACCAGAATTGACCACCCTCCCCTCTCGGTTTCCTAGAACTGCTCGCCCAGGTTTGCCTTTGCTACTAAGCAGGGGGTCCAGACAGGGTGGGTTCTCCCCAGAGACTGGGAACCTCAGAGCGTGAGCTGTAAATAGCTGTTAAGTTATAAGCACAGAAGCTCATGAGTCTCCGTTGACCTGGCCCAGGGGTGAAGCAGGAGGCAGCCTCTTCCAGGTCTCCCTTCCAGCCCAGGGCGCCGGGCAGCTGTGCCAGGTGAGGAGGCAAAGCTGGGGTCACCGTGGTTCAAGGCCCGATCTTCTGCCTTGCAGGGGCAGAAACTCAGCTCTGTCCGCTCTTCTGGGAGAGATCAAAGCCTGGTAAATTGTTTTGCTCTGACCAATCTCACAGGAGCCCGGTTTGTCACTAGAAGGGCAATTCATAAATTTAGAGCGAAACATATAACTGACAAGCAGAGCGGCTGTGTGTGTTGGCTGGTGAACACGTGTTTTTCCCGAAAGGAAAGCTTGAGAATAAAGATGAGACGGTTTCTTGGTAAAAATGGAACTGGAAGAAAGGAGCTGAATAGTGTTAGGGAGACTGGCACGCTCACACGTGTGCACTTGCTTCTCTTCTCCTTTTGACCATGGATCCATTTGTCCAGGAGAGAAACCTGGGAATTTCCTTGTACCCCTGCCTCTGCCTCACCACCCAGCCATGCACACACCTGATTGGTGACTACATCCCTAGTCCCCTAATAATCTGTCAGACCAGGTCTCTCCGTTTCTGCAGCCACTCTCTTAAGCAAGGTTGTCATCATTTCCTCCCTGGAATGTTGCAGTAGCCTCCTCTGTAGTTTTTATTGCTCCTGTAACACATGACCCTGAATTTAGGGGCTTAACACAGGCAAGGCTCTAGGGGAGAATCACTTCCTTGCCTTTTTCAGTTCCTGGAGGCGGGTCCCCTGCATTCCTGGGCTGGAGCCTCTTTCTCCCTCTTTCAGGTCCACAGTGTTTCATCCCTGAACATCCTTCCATAGTCACATCTCCCTGTGGCCACCGCCGGGTCAGGGTCTCCGCCTTGAAGTACTCATGGGACACAGTGGGCCACCTGATAGTCCAGGATGGTCTCCCATCTGAAAGTTCTTAGCTTAACGACTCTGCAAAGGCCCATTTGCCGTAGACATATTCATGGGTTCTGGAGACTGGGGTGAGGACATCATTTGGGGGCGGGCAGGGGCTATTGTTTTGCCTACCACATTTCCTAATTGGTTCTCCTGCCTCCTGTCCCTCATCTCACACTCTGTTGTCTATAATATAGACTCTATATAACTTCTAGAAGCCTTCGAACGGTGGGAATACTCGTTTCAATCCCCCGGGATCCTTGAATGACGGCTTCTTGCCTGCAACATCGAGTGCGGACCCATTATACAGGCTTGAACACCCTCTGTCTTGCTCCTCCCTACTTCCCAGCCTCTTCTCTACAAGCATTGAGTGCTCTCCGTCCCATACTCAGTGTGGCCTATGGACCAGAATGAGTAACATCACCTGCGAGCTTGTTAGAAACGAAGACTCTCACATCCTGCCCAGACTTCCGGAATGAAAATCAGACCTTTTACTGGATCCTCCGTTTGAGAAACACTGCTCTCAACATTCATAGCTTCTTATGTCTTTCCAAACGCACTGCCCTGAAACAGAAAGGAACTTATGGGAATTTGGGAATTCCTAGGACAAACTAGAAGGCTGGGGGGAAGATACTCAATTGGGGAGGATCCCAGAAACCTGGTGACAGGTCAGCTTATGCCACAGGATGGTCTGGTTAGGAAGCTGCTGCCAGTATCATTACCATGGACACTGGCTTCCGACTTCTGGCTTCCCGTGCCTTTGGAACAGTCTGTGAAGATTCAAAACCCTGGCTAGGGGCATTTGAAGCCTAGATAATAGGCCTTGCTGCCCAAAAAGACCATCTCAAAATTAGAAGGCTTTGGATACTGGTAATAAACATATTTTTTACATATTACATATAATTATATTCAATAAAATTTATGATGTTTAATGAAATTAAAATACAGTATATAATATGACTGTATATATACAGTGTGTGTGTGTATATATATATACATATATATACACACATATACAATATATATATTTCCATTACAGTTACTTGTTTGGTTGCCCAACATTGACATCCACTCTTTTACCCAGGTTTTGGCTTTTAAAAAACCTTCCAACAAGAATTCTGTGCAACTCATTTGCTTGTTCAATCCAAATTTCTTCAGCTGAGTCCAGCTGCAGGTCCAGTACCTCGCTTCCTCTGGCTCTGTCAGGATCTAATCTTAATATTCAGCACTCTAAAAAATTAAATGATCGAGTGAACCACCCATATACTCTATTAGGGGGAGAAGGAGAATAAATAAAAATAAAATTAGTTAAAATATTTAAATCTATACATAACAAAAAAAATGAAGAAAATATTGGTAGAAGCTACAGTCCTTAGTCAGGCAAGTGGTCATAAGTTCGTAACTTGTGTTTATGTCTTTTGATAAAAGATAATCTTTAAAGGGTAAAATCACGACTCTTGTACAAATATAAAATTAACACGTGTAAAAATTTTACATAACTCATTAATGCGGAAACCAGTAAATTGCTAAAAACACATCAAAGGAGATTCCAAAGAGCAGACACATAACCAATCAGGAGTGATGAAATGAATTATTTTAGAATATTCAACTGATTTCTTGGGCAAATGTGGAAATCAAAGTTGTAAACTAGCTCAAAAGACATTGAAAAACATGACACCTGTGGGACCAGGGTAATTCAGAAGGTGCTCTGGGCCAGTGGTTGGCAAACTGCGGCCCCTTGAGTGTGGCTCTTCCACAAAATACCACATGCAGGTGCGCATGTACAATGCGATTGAAACTTCGTGGCCACACTCAAGGGGCCAAAGAGCCGCATGTGGCTCGCGAGCCGCAGTTTGCCGACCACTGCTCTGGGCACCTACAGTTCCATAGCACATCCAGCATTTTTCCCTTTGCCTCCTTCTTCCACCATCTAATGCATGCTCCATCAGAGCTTTGGTTCAGTAAGCAGAGGTTCTCAACCTGTGGGTCGCGACCCCTTTGGCAGTTGAACGACCCTTTCACAGGGGTCGCCTAAGACCATCCTGCATATCAGATATTTACATTACAATTCATAACAGTAGCAACATTACCATTATGAAGTCGCAACGAAAATAATTTTATGGTTGGGTCACAGCATGAGGAACTGTATTTAAAGGGCCAGAAGGTTGAGAACCACTGAGTTAGAGCTTCCGTATCCAGGGTGTGGCCTGAATCTTCATTCCTGAGGAACGTGAGGCCTTAGTTATACTGCCTCTGTGAGTCATTGACTTTTACCTCTGAGTGAGACTGTAGTCGGAGATCCCCCAGGACCGTTAACTTCCTCCCCTGCACATTGTGTAGCAGCGACCCTGGTTCCCCTGACCATCAGGATCAGTCGCCCCATCGAAGCCCCTAAGTCCCTTTATTATCCACTTCCGAGTGGCATGGTGGTCCTGAAGTGGTCAGGTGACTGTCTAGTCCAGTGATGGCGAACCTTCTGAGCTCGGCGTGTCAGCATTTTGAAAAACCCTAACTTAACTCTGGTGCCGTGTCACATATAGAAATTGTTTGATATTTGCAACCATAGTAAAACAAAGACTTATATTTTTGATATTTATTTTATATATTTCAATGCCATTTAACAAAGAAAAATGAACCAAAAAAATGAGTTCACGTGTCACCTCTGACACGCGTGTCATAGGTTCGCCATCACTGGTCTAGTCTCTGCTTCTATTTCATTGGAACCAATTGCATCCCTGCTAGAAGCACCTATCCTCCGGGCACTAAAATTATTAAAAAGTACAACTCGGAAGATCAGGGTTGAGAAGCAGAAAGGCTGGAGTCAGACTGTTAGGCACCTCTCACAGACACCAGCGGTGTAAGTTATCCCGCAGCCCCCTGAGTCAGAGGGAGAGGCTGTCCCATCGCAGTTCTTATCTGCTCATATGAATGAATCCAAACAAGTGACTCCAGGTCATGGTGTTGTGTTCAAGTGAATTTATTAAGAAAGTAAAACATGCGAATTTATTAAAGGAACAAGGCAAGCAATCATCCAGCAAAAAGTGTGGATGGGCTCTCTCGGCTAATCTGAGGAGCGAGTGGGGTGGAGGTTTCTGCCTTATATGTTTTTCTGTCTATAGATTATAAATCTCTCAGCTGAATATCTTGGGTGCAGATTAGTTTTCAAGGTCCCCCTTTCACTTTGTTGTGGCTTTCCCAGAATCTGTGGGAAGCACCTGGCAGTTTTATCTTGCCAAGCCCCAAAACTGATGGCTTTTCTGTTTAGGGAGTGAAATAAACTGCTCTTCTTTCCTCCCCCCTTCCCCCCTCCTTTCCTGCTTTCTCTGCTTAGAGAGGCTTTTAACCATTTGCTCTCAAGTGTCTTTGGTTTGGGGAAGATAATGGCTTGTTACTTACAAGCCAGCTGCAAGCTGTCCACACTGCTTGGCCACGTTTAATTTTCTTGTCTCAGTTTCCCTATTCCTCCTGCCCTGGAATGTCCCTAGCTTCTTGCTACGCTGTAACAAGACCAGTGAATCTCAAACTTTAACGTGAGTACAAATGCACAGAGGATTTCATTAAAATACAGATTCTGATCTGTAGGGTCTCAGGTGGGGCCTGAAATTCTGTGTTTCTAACCAGCTCCTCCTTGATTCCGATGGTGCTGGTCAGGCACGGGCTTTTCACAGATGTCTGCCATCTGGGGGTCCGTCCACATCGTTCCAGAATGTGATCACGGCCCAGAACCAGTCTCAGCCACCCTTCCATGTACCTCATGGTATTGCCAGATCCTTACCTTGTATTTTAAAATGTACTTGGGATTTGCTTTAATCAGGGATGGTGAGGCATGCAGACACAGAAATGACTGTCATGAAGAAAGATGTTTTTACTCACAGCTCCTTAAAGGCAGGAGGCCCAGCCACCTCCAGGCCCAGAGCAGGTGGGCCACAACCTCTACTGGTTTCTGCAGGGAAGTCAGGTAGGGCAGGGCAGTCAGGTTTAGGGTTGGCTAGCTGGAATAATTTCAGCAGGCGGTGGGGTGTGGGGGCTGCCCTAGCTGCCTTGGTACCTGGCCTGGGGTCATTAGGGCTGGGGAATATTGGCCCACCCGTGAGCACTCTGTATGGGCTCTGGGTTGGTGAGTTTGCATATGAAAAATCCACCCTGGGGCACGTCTTTTTCTCTTTCTAAGAATTGTCTGGTCCTGGGAAGGGAAGTCTCTCCCCAGTCAGCAAGGCCTCGGATGCCAAGCATCAAAGAGTACAGAAAATAAGAAAAGAGTTCATACACCTGGTGGCAGTGTAGGTGCATTACCTCAGGACATTGCTCGTTCCAGGCTCAGTGCGCTGCTCAGAGTTCTGCCTGTGAGGGAATTTCACTTCCTCATTCTCTCAGGGCCACCAGGCTATGCAGCTGTCCACTGTGAGCTCCTGCCAGCAGATGGTGCCCAGGCAGCTGTAAACCAGGCTCTAATCGTTGCTTTCTTTCTCGGTCATTAGGCATAGGGAGTGCCCTGGGAGGCCGGAGCAGGGTCCAGATGCAAGAGGGAGTGTGAAATACTCAGGAAATAGGGTGACTGATGTAGGGGAGGATCCAAGGGTGAGGGGAGGCTACAGAGGTGGCTAAGCCTGCTGCCTGCACAGCCCATGGGGCGGTCTCTTGCAGGCTGCCAGGAGCCCTGGAGGCTTCGTGATGGGTCCTGGTGTCTCAGCCCATCTCTGTGGCTCATGGAAGGTCTCTGGGCTCTGCTTCCCACCCTCCTGCTATGACCTAGGATCACAACTTCTCTTATGTCCTCACTGTTGGGTCCTGCTCGGATCTGTCCAGAGGGACTCCCTAGCCCTGCTGTCAACTCTCCATTCCAGAGTTGCTCCTGGTCACCACCTCTCAAATTGGCCATAGCTCCCTCTCTCTCTTCTGGACGCCGCCCTGCCCATGCTCTCCACGTCTTGCAGGGAATTTTGGATAGAATCCCTCGAACCTGGCAACTTCTCTTTCATACCTTGGAAAAAATAGCCATCATTGGATTACTCTGTGGTTTGATGGGGGAAAACATTTCCTGGTAGTTTATTTATGGTTTCCATCTCTGAGCCACCAGTATTCCATTTACCTTTTGAGGCTCAGTGAATCATTCTCACACCGTCCTTTCCGCACGAAAGCATTTTAAGGAGAAGGGGTTCGTGATGGAAACTTCTTCAGGCTAACACTTCAAGCTCCTTTCCCCCATGCCTCCTTCATCTTTGGCCGTGGCCCCACTCTCCCTCCTGAGATTTGGTCTTGCCTTTTCCAGAGGCCTATTGGGCATGCTTCTTAGGTGTCTCCTGGGCCCTCAGACTGCCCTCGGGTTCTTGGAGCTCAGCCTCTTCTCCCTAAATTGACCCTTTGTTTACTTCCTTGCTGGTGTGAGTGGCTCCATGTCACACTATGCCCCGACTTCAACAGGCCCCTTTCCTCCCATGTATACCCATCATGTATTCAGCCGGTACTCATGGGGAGCATCTGTTACCTTGAAACCATCCTAATTCTCTATTTTCTTCCCAAAAAGCCACGTAGGCCAATATTTCCCAAAGCATATTATTCTCAGTCTTTTTAAAACCATCCTTTCTTTCCCATTGACAATGCCAACATTCTAATCCAGTCATTCAAGACATACTCACTGAGTACATACTACCTGCCAGGAGCTGTTTGGGGTACTAGAGCTGCAGTGGTGTGCAAAAATAACTGGCTTCCACTCTCAGGGAACTCACAACCTAGTAAGAAAAGCATGGCAATAAGCAGGTGCTTTCAAAGCAGAATGTTCAGTGTTACGACGGGAGCATGTATGACACTGTGGGAGAGAAAAAGGAAAGTGAACTTACCCCAACTTTGGACACTTCTTAGAGGAAATGACCTTTGGGCTGAGATCTGAGGGCTGAAATATGGAGGGAAAGGGAGATGCCCTGTACAGGTTCATTATAACGAGTGGAAAATTCAAGCAAGTGTGGGTGAGACGGAGGGCTTTCTATGGAGGTAATTAGGGTCCAGTTCATGCAAGGACGTTTATAACATGTTAAGGAATTTGGGATTTATCTTAACAGTAAGGGACCATTGAAGACTTTAAAAGCTTGGAAGGAGAATCATCAAGTTTGGATTTAACAAGGTCATTCTGACTAGAATATGGAGGACAGATTGGGAAGGAGGCAGAGGTAGAGACACCAAGCAAAAGATGGGAGTAGTCTGATGAGTTCATGCTTTTGGAAGATTAGGATGGGGATGGTTTGTAGCAGCGGTCGCCAACCGGTGGCCTGTGGACCATTGGTGGTCTGTGAGGTCCGAAAGGTTGGTGACTGCTGGTTTGTAGGATGGGTTGGGGAGGGGAAAGCCTAGAGACAAGGGAAATGGGAGAGAGGGGACCACGACCTCAACTCGGGGTGAGAGGCAGTGGAAATGGAATGGATGCTCATGTGGGAGAGGTTTTAAAAAAGATCTAGTTTCTGCAAGAGGCTGGGGATGAGGGGTTTCTCACAGGAGAAAGTCTTAGGTGGCCAGTGAGGATTATCACCACTCCATCCCAGAGAAACGGCCTTGCTACAGTTCATTCCCGGGTGTGTCTCTGTGAAGGCCTGGAAAGTTTACTTGGAAAAATTACCTAAGTGAATCCTGAGTCACTCCTGGTCCACAGGCCTCCCTGGCTCACCTGAGGGCTAGTGAAGGTCACCTGGGGTGCACATTGACCTTGAGCCTGGGTCAATCATGGAAACAGCCCATTTGCCTCCAGCCCCAAGGTTTGGAGTGGAGCTAGACACGAGCTTGGGAAGGATAGGGGGAGTGGGTAGACATGCAGCAGCGCTGCCTGGACGTGCCCCAGCACCTGGGCCTTTTCTTCTCGATGTTGGGCAGCCTTTCACCCTTGACCTTCTCTACTAGCTTTGTTACTTTTTCGTTCAACAGGTCAAATGGATGATGTACTGGATTATATTTGCACTTTTCACCACAGCAGAGACATTCACCGACATCTTCCTTTGTTGGTGAGTACACCAAGAATTGGGACTTTTCCCTACTAATGATGTTCTCTTCTGGCGCTGGCTGGCCTCCTGCTGTCTTCCTGCTCCTTCTCGGGAACATCAAGGGGGATAGTGTTTGTC